AAAAGAATCTGATGAGATTATAGCTGTTTTCATTTTTTCCAAGATGATCTCAACTATTTTCGCAACACAGGCAGCTTTAATCAAAGATCCATCTGTCTCAGTAAGACGTATACTATGGAGCCCTGATGGTTCTTTGTTTGGTGAGATTGAACATTTGGCATCATTTTAGTGTTTGAAATAGCTTACCAATTTAGTAGCAGTATTTTTCACAGTTTTTGCTTTCTTTCCAAGCAGGAGTTGGATATTCTAAACATATGCTGCAGTTGTACACTTACTTTGGAGGGAATGATGTTCGACAACATTTGGAGGTGTGTTCTCATATCTTCTTCCTACAATGCAGTTAAGTTTATTATTATTTAATTTTCTAACAAAATATTACATTCGATTTCTAGATTGACTCTCATGTTGGTGCTGTAAATGATCTAGCATTTTGTAACCCCTCTAAGCAACTATCGGTTATTACTTGTGGTGATGACAAGACCATCAAGGTTCGTTATGATTGAATAGTTTGATTGAATAATTATTGCTTCATTTATAAGAAGAAAAAAGAACTTCTATACTAATTTCTTGAGTTTAGGTGTGGGAAGTAGGCACTGGCGTTAAATTATACACATTTGAAGGTCATGAAGCTGCTGTACATTCTGTCTGTCCTCATTACAAAGAAAATGTCCATGTAAGGTCTCTGCTTGATACATAGGTTTTTCTGATAGATATTTTCTTACATTGTATGGTGTGGCTTATGATCCGCTCTTCAGTTTTTCTTTTCAACATCAGTGGATGGCAAGATAAAGGCATGGTTATATGACATGATGGGATCCAGGGTTGATTACTATGCTCCTGGTCGCTCCTGTGCAACAATGGCCTATAGTGCTGATGGAAAAAGGTTCATATAGAGGAAGACATTTTCGACTAATGTTATTTTCATCATTTTCCTGTTTTATGAACAAAATGAAAACTCGGGTTCCTCTGTGAACTATATGTAGGTTGTTCTCGTGTGGAACCACAAAAGAAGGGGAGTCACACATGGTTGAATGGAATGAAAATGAAGGTACTGTGAAGAGAACCTACCAAGGATTTTACAAACGTTCTTTGGGAGTTGTGCAATTTGATACAGCCAGGAAGTTTCTTGGCAGCTGGTGATGATTATTCAATTAAATTCTGGGATATGGAAAATTGCATTCTTTTATTGACTGTGATGCTGAGGGAGGATTACCGGTTAGTTTACTTTTAAATTTCATTTATGTAGGTAGTGGATAAATGCTTGAATGAAAATTACATATTTTGCACCATAAGATTCACAGTTCAGTGTGCTGATATACTTTTCTGATTTCAAGGCAAGTCCTCGTATCCGCTTCAACAAGGAGGGTTCCTTATTGGCTGTTTCTGCAAATGAGAATAAAATAAAAATTTTGGCAACTGTTGATGGTCTTCGATTGATGCGAACATATGAAACTCATTCCCATATTGCTCCAAGACCACATCCATCTGATGCTCCAGCAATGGTAATTAACTAATTCTGGAATTCTTACATTGTCTATGCATTATAGTCCATGGAGAATGCTATACCAAAGCGATAACCTGAGGTTCATTGTCTATGCTCCATCTGACCCTCTTTTGGCATGATTCTCTTTCTTCTTTCCTTTTCTCATCTCAACTCTCTAATCAATCTTGGTCTATTCAAGTATATTCAATATAATTTTAAAATTAATATTTTTGGTGCATTTGCTAGAATGGTGACTCAAAAAAGTCGGAGGATACAAGAGAGAAATCAACGGAAGAAGTAAACCCAGTAAGAGCAGGCCAACTCACTGAAATTAGCACACCTGCTCAATTTCGTGCACTCAAACTCTCAGCTCGTTTCCAAACAGATAAGGTATGATTTTCACCAGATCAAAATTTATCACTTTGAATGATTTTGTTGATACAGAGTATCAATAAATTTTATTCAGTTATTTTCCTGTTTGCTTTTATGGATATATTAACTGTTTGGGCCAACTTTAAAAGAATGGAATGTAATATCTGAATATACTGATGGAGTCAACCATCAGAACTAGTGCCTTAGTATTTTCCTCAGAAACTAATGAACTGTTTGTTTTCTTGTAGTAGCCATAAATTTCTGACAGGCTTATTTTTGTTACTTGCTTCAGATCGGAAGGTTGATTTATACTAATTCAGGTAATGCCATTTTGGCATTAGCATTTAACGCCATTCATTTACTGTGGAAATGGACACAAAATGACCTCAATTTGAGTGGGAAGGTAAACCAATTGCCTCGATATGATGTGAATCTGCTAATCAATCTGAAGAACCTAATGAACATAAAAATGCTAACATTTGATTTGGTTATATTCTATCAAACTATTTGTGGTGTAGGCAACAACAAAGGTTACCCCTCAACTAGTGCAACCAGCATCAGGCATATTGATGACCAATCATCTTATCGAGGGTAACTCTGTTGAAACTGTGCCATGTTTTGCATTGTCCAAGAATGACTCCTACGTCATGTCTGCATCAGGAGGCAAAATTTCATTGTTCAACATGATGACATTTAAGGTAATTTTTTCAAATCATGCGATCAATTACTTACAATGGTTTAGGAGGGTTAAAATTTATGTTTTCAAAGGTATTGTTCCAGGAAAGATGGTTCTAAACACTCGTATAATTTGCAGCATAAAAGTTCTTATAGAACATGTGAATGGTACTGCTAAGTGTATTACATTTTTGTTAACCACTTTAGACTTCTGGTGAATAACTACAGAAAATGGTAACATTCATGTCTCCACCACCTGTAGCAACATATCTTGCTTTTCACCCTCAAGATAACAATATAATCGCTATTGGCATGGAGGATTTCACAGTCTACATATACAATGTTCGTCTAGACGAGGTAATTTTTATCTTTATCAAAGGACTAATGTCTTCATCTAAGAAGCACTAAAGAGAACTCATAGATATTCGCATTTTTTTCCTATAAAAGGTCAAGAGCAAGCTTAAGGGACACTCTAAGAGAATCACTGGTCTCGCCTTTTCCCATCTGTTGAATGTACTTGTTTCTTCTGGAGCTGATGCTCAGGTAGAGTTCCCCCCGCCTTAAATGCATATATACGAAATATATACGGAAACTTTTTGGTTCAATGTCCCACCAGCCAGGCTTAATGTAGCTTGACATGATGAAATCTTTTTATCTTTTTTATATCACAGATCATCGTGTGGGACTTGAATAATTGGGAAAGGAAGAATGGTTGTTTCTTGCAAACTCCAGCAGGAAGGACGCCGACAGCAAGGTCTGACACCCAGATTCAGTTTCAGCAGGATCAGACACATTTGCTGGCTGTAAACGAAACTCAACTCGCCATATATGATGTGAGGAAACTGGAGTGTATAAAGCAGGTATGTATATATATATGCAAATGGAGTATTTTGTTAGCAAAAAGGGAAAAAGAGAGGAAATTGGAGTATCTGTTCGATTGAAAGCTTTAAAAATGGAATGTCACGTGTCTTTTCAGTTGGCCATAGGAGAATCTTCAGGACCAATCACCCATGGAATATTTTCATGTGATAGTCGGTTGGTGTACACCAGTTTTATGGATGGAACAGTGCGCATATTCAGTGCCTCAAACCTTCAATTACAGCGCCAGATAAATCCCACTGCTTATCTGTCATCCGATGTCAGGTACTTAAAATGTCTGGTTTTGTCAATTAGCATATTGCCCAAGATGTGCACGTCATTGGCCTTGATTCACAGAGAATCTGATGCGCATGCAATGATAAAAATATCAACAAATTTTCAAATATCTTCAACTATAACAACATTGCTTCCATTATTTTTCTTGTTGACGATAAATGGGTGGTTATTTGCTATTTAACACATGTTTTGTTCATCTACGGCAGCTCAACTGTTCATCCACTTGCAATTGCTGCCCATCCCCAAGAACCGAACCAGTTTGCCATAGGCCTAACTGATGGCACCATTTATGTGTTTGAACCACTTGAATCCGAGGGAAAATGGGATGTTGCGCCCCAACCACAACGCGTTGAGAATGGATCGGCAAGTACCATTTCTTCGCAATCCACAGTCTTGGATCAACCCAAATCCCAACCCCAACCCCAGGGCTGATAAATCTGCTTTGTTTTATCGAACTCTTTAATGTATAATTAGGTCATGTAGTTCTTCTTTCTTAATGTAAAACTTGTTAGACAGCTAGACTATTATCTTTTTTCCTATGTGAAACTTGGCTTCTCCTTCGAAAATGGTATTCTCATTTTTAGTTAGTATTTCATTCACCGGTCTCTGAAAGTTTTTAACTTCATGAACCACCAAGTATTTGACATATATGCGCACACACTGGAGCGGAGTGGATTTACTTGCGCCCCACGTTTATATAGAATATGAAAACACCTACCGCCTTATTTCTTTCACTAATGATTTCTCAATTAACATTACAAAATTGTATACTTATAATTTGTTTATGAACATTATTTTAATATATATAATTCTTAATCTATCTATAATATAGACATATCATGACATATTCGTGTGTCTATTATTTATAGATATATATTCTTAAAAGTATGAAGATTAATTATAATTATTTGTTTCACAGTATATAATTATTAATATTTTGGAAATTTCTTATTTGAAGAAGGTTAATTTAAAATTGAATCCATAAAATAATATAAGTGATAAAATAAAAAATTATTTTTATTAAAAAAATTAAATTCAAATAACTATATATTTATATTATTAAAATTAAGAAAATTTAAACATTTAAAATTACGGTCTCAAGCTGTTATGCTCAACTCCATGACCGACAATCTCTTTATCTCGGACATCAAACACTCTTTCTTGAATCATGTGCTTGTGGAGGCTAATGATATCTCCAAAACCCTAACATAAACCCCAATTCCAAAAACCTAATTCAATCTTTAAATTTCTTTAAAAAAAAAAAAGTAAATTCGATCTTTAACTCACTCCCTCTTCAATTGGGTTTCTTTATTTGTAGTCTCAGTCCACGCTATGTCAAAAGTCGCTCAAATGGAATGTATGACCGGAAACGATGCGTTATTGGGCTTTGCACTGCAAGCTATGGTTGTCGAGTCTGCCATTATTGTTACAAAGTCCGTCGCTTGGTTGCTGAAGATGTTATACTTTTCTGTTACTTTTGCTATTTATTTACCTTGGCTTCTGAAGTTGCAATTTAATCTGCTGGGTTAACAGATTTGAGTGGTGGTTGCTTTTATGCTTTATAAGGATTTATTTTCCTTGAATCTATTGGAAATTGACAAATTCTCTATGATAATTTGATTTCATTGTTCTTCAAATTAGAAGGTTGCAATTCTTTCTTTGGTTAGGATGTTTATAGAGGAAAAGAGAGTGGAAGATGCAATTCTCTTTTTATTTTTTGTGCAAGAATGTTTGCTTGTTTGTCATTTGGTCTAAGCATATATTATTTGTGATTCATACGACAATGGGGTACTTCCATTTTTCCTGTACTTTGTGTCATTTGATGTGATAATCTGCTTGCTTTTTATATATTGCTCACAAATTGCTCCTGGAAGAAATCTGTTTTTCTTTTCAGCAATTGTTTTGGTTTTTTTCCAGATGGGAATGCCTAATGGAATTGATATCCACTTGAAAGAGCCTGAAGCATATGCTGGGTTAGTTGCATTCTTTTTCATCATTCTTGACTTGTTCTTTTTTTTTGCTCCGTGGGGTGGGAAAATTGCCCCAGTTTTCTTTTGCAGGTTTCCACTGGCTCAGCTTCTTGCAGTGAGAAAACCTAGTCCTGAGAACAAGGATGCCAGTGACACGGAGGACGATGATGATAATGTTGACGATGAAGAAGCAGAAGATGATCAAGATGAAGATGCAGGCGAGGAGTAGGATGCTTCTGGTGAAGATGAAGGAGATCCTGAAGATGAACCCTAGGCCAACGGGGAAGGTGGCAGTGGAGAAGAGGATGATGATGAGGAGGAGGAGGAGGACAATGATGACAACGATGTTGGTGAAGACGAGGAAGAGCTCCAGCCACCGGCTAAAAGGCAAAAAATGAGCTTGAATCTCTTGTTCTTGTTATTTATTGTCTTGCTGAGGTTAGGGGTATGGTGTAGTGGGAAGTTATAATGGGTCCATGGTGTCTGTCTAAATTAGAGTAGAGAACATTGTGACAGCTCTGGAAATCATACTTGTTTGATTATGCATGACTTAATTCTTGTCCTTACTCTTTCGCATGACTTAGCTCAGTCAGTTTTATTATTATATTTATCATATGCATCGGTATCTTTAAAATGACACTCCTTTCTTGTTGCTTCCAAACATGCTCCAGCTCACAGTTGTTAATACCTAGATTCTGACTGGAGGCTTGGTAATTTCTGATGAATATCTAACGTTTTTCAGGAAAAATGAGGTGGAGGGATGAAGGGACTCTGCCTGATCTTTGATTAACTAAATTCTTTCGAGGAGGAAATCCCTACTGATCTTTTTTCTTCTGTTGGCTGCTGCTGCTGCCTGTAGTCTTATTATTATTTTGTTGGTAAAGTTGAGTATGCATCCAAAGTTATCATAACCCTTTTTAATAGAATTCTGCAAAACTGTAATAAAGTAGAAATAAAGAACAAAAGGTAAAGAGAAAGCCTTTATGCTTTTAGTTTTGTTTCCTTGGTAATTGTGGCAATGTGTATCTACACATTGAATGCTTTTCTCGTATTAATTGGCAGAATTTTTCTCGATTTGGTCTAACTTTATTAAGATTGGCAAGATTATCGCTACTTCAATCTGTTGAAGGCAAGTCAACCGGTGTTGCTCGGCGAACATCAGTCATGTTGGGCTGAACCTTTAACACTTGAACATGACTGGTTTACAACAAAAGAATCAATATTAAGATAATGACAACTTAAGGAAACCAAACTGAACCCCAAAAACAATGGTTTATATTACTCTAGAAAAACCCTTATCAAAAGAACAAAAAAAATGAAGTTCCTCTAGTCTCGGCAAAGCTGAAAGACATTTTCATGAGGAATTCATGTTTGTAAAACATTTTTCTCGACTTTCCTGACCAAAAATTATTAACCAATGTTTCATTATATGCTAAACTCATCATTACACCTTAAACATATGAAATACAAATTTCTAGAGAACTACTAAGCCTCAAATCTAATTTCAAGGGGAGGAACCCCATAGTACCTCTGCAACAATGGAAGCTATCTCTGCCTCAGAAACAGAGGCTTCTCTAACTCTCCTCAAAATCTCCAACTTAAATTCTATTTTCTCCTTTTTACTTAACATTTCTCCTGATTCTAGTTGCATTGTAAATCTTGCAACACAACCTTCAAATGGACAATTACTCATATAATCCTCTTCGTTGCTTTCCATTTCTTCATTACTTGTTCCATTATCATCCACATTGGATTGCTTTTCTAATCCCTGCAACTTCACCAGCTTCTCAACCAACCCTGCTTCAAGCATTGCTTCAATGGCTTCTCTTCTACCATAATACGCGATCCCTAGTATGCAATCCATTGCTTCAGCTTGAATCGCCACATTTTCTGAGCTTAAAAGGCTTATAATTCTTGGGATTTCTTTGTGTGCTTCTAGTTCATCAACCAAAGGGATTCGAATAAACTTGATCAGCAAAGAAAGAACTCGAATCGAACAACAAGATGACATTGATATTAAAGCTCGAACAGTTGGACCCATTAGCACCAATCCCACAAAAACATCTTTATTAAATCTAACCAGTGAAGCTATCACTAGTGCCACCTGATCTCGAACCCTAATTAAGCATGAAGAGTCGCAAAGTAGATGTTCGAGAATCGAGAAAATTTTGGCTTTCAAAATTAAATCTTGAAAATGAAAATCAAAACCTCGCGATAGACGCTTCTCAAACTCAACCAAAACCTTCACTTTCTCATCCTCATCCTCATCAGCTGATCCTTCAAGTGTTCCCACAAGGTTTTGAACGCTTTCTCGATCAAAATAGGCTTGAATATCACTCTCTATTGCACAAGCAACTTGGTAAATCTTGTATTTGATGATTTGGCGTCTGAGGATGCAGGGCAGCCTATAACCCTGATATTTTAGGAGCTTTTCAAGCAGGCTTTTGAGGTTGCAAAGCAGCTGAGAGAGCTTGAAAAGATTAGGGTCGTTATTAAAAATGAGGTTTGCATCCTTTTCAAGGTCTAAGAAAGGATCAATTGTGGATTGGGGTTCTTGTGTTGAAGAAATGGGATTTTTCTGCAGATCTTTTGAAGCTTTTTGGAAGGATTTTAGCAGTGAAAGCAAGTGTTGATTGACTTGGTTTGATGTTTGATCCATTTTGCAGAGATTCGAAGCTTACCGCATGTGGTGGGAGGGAGAAAGGGAGACAGAGAACCAAGCTATCTGAGGGAACTCCCAACTACCAGTCCAAACATGTAATTATACTTGTGACCAAACCTTCAGTTACTTTGATCAAGGCCAAAAACCTAATATTTATCGACTCATGCCAGAATCTTCTTCTGTTTCTACACACATTCCAGTTTCATCCAATTTCTGACCCATCAATCGCCGTCACCACTTTTTCAATCCAATTTGTTGTTTCTGAATTACTGGTTCGGCTGATGGTAGTGGGCCAACCTTAAAATTCGGTGGCAGCTCAGCTTAAGCATTTTAACAGTTCGAGTGTAATACTGGAAAATGGTTACTTAAAGAGTTTTAATTTAATCCAAAAAAAGAAAAGAAAATTGTTACTCAAAATTACTTGATCAGAGTGTTTAAATATAATTTGGATTTGATTTGACGATCGGAAATAATAATTTTAAAATTTTAATTTAACTATAAATATAAAATTATAATAATATTAATTATTATTTAACAAATATTTTTAATATTTTTAATTAAATTTATTTTTATTTAACTCGTATCATTATATATTTTAATACTTTAATTTATTAAACAATATATATATATATCTGATTTCTTTAAAATTTTAATTATTAAGTGATTAAAAAATCTCGTCTCGATTGATTTGGTGTTTCCTTTTAATATAAAAAAATTGTTCGAGGAGTCACCACCAATATTTGATTAGGGTGTGATTGGACACCCAAAACAATTGTCATTTTAATAAAACATTAATTTTAATTTTATTAAAATAACGTTTTAGGTCTACGTTCCAAAAAATTCAGTTCGGGAGTCGAATACACATAGGGAAAGATTAACACCCCATAGCACTCTAAATCGGTACCTAGTTGATTAATTAGTTGTCTTTGCAATAAAATTTACGAGTTCGAATTTAATTTAATTTAAGATCTCTTCAAATAATATTCTTTGAATTTTAGGACGAAACACAATAATATTTAATTTATTTCCTATCGAGAAGAAACAACTTCTCATGCCTTAAAACAATCAATTCTTACTCAAATCGAAATAAAGAAATATTACAATTCCATTTGATAATTCATTATTAGTTCGAATGTATGAATGATGATAAAATGAAGTAAAACAAATTAAATTACAAATTACAAATCCTTTTAGAAAAAAGAAGGATGTTGAATTATTTAAAGACGTCGAGATCGGACCTTTTATAAGTTCTAACGATCATTTCTCAAAGAATTTAAATAGACGAACATTTCTTTTTCTCTCGTTCCCAAATTTTAAGCGTAATCAATTTTTAAGGTTTCACTTAATGGGATACACTTTCATTTTAAAATTATCGGAAGTGACTTTCTTATACGTTAAGACAATCACTTCACAATGACATTAAAATGAAATAATATTACTCTTAGTCCAATTATTTGAACGAATCGAGTGATGCTTACGGGGTTATCATGCATGTTAATTTTGAAAAGATAAGTAATACCTAAATCTATATGTAAGAACAAATGTACTTATATAAACACATAAAAAAAGAATTAAATAACATGTTATTTTATCTAGATTAAATTAAATAAAATTTAAAGGCATACATAACCTAACTTAACAATATTCAAGACCATATAAATTTTACAACATGCCACATCATACTCAACACATAATCACATATATGTCAGGGCACACGTGAAACCTACTAAATAAAACATAAAATACATTTACCCTAAATATATGTGTTTACATGTATGTTACCATACAAAAAGGAAAGAAAATGTGGCATATGGCATAATAAAGACCAATACAAATATATATATATATATATAACACATTAGGCTTAAGCAATCGGATAAATAACACACACAACAGGCCTCGTCAGTAACTTAAGAAAAATAAATCTGGTAAATGGACATATGTACATACACGAGGAAAAAGTAAATGGCATAGTGATCAAGATGAAAGGACAAACAAATCCTCGGTTAAAATAGCAAATCTAGGGACCTAATTAGTCGGTTAAACAAATATAAGTCATAGGGCACAAAAATTATATATTCCAGGCACCAAAAACGAAATAAACCCATAAGTAGATGGGGACTAAAATGAAAGTTCTATAAAGGATATGCCAGAAACATAAACAACGCAAAATATAAGCAAACATATAATATGGACTAAAATGGAAATCAAAGAAAGTACATGACAAATATGAACAGAAACAAAGATTTAAAAATAACTTAGCACATGACTAAAATGCAACACGTGTAAATCTTAAAGACAAAATCAGAAATATAAAGAAATTCGATTTGAGGAATGAAATGAATTAAAACAAAAATTGGGTTGAGCCCTTACACAATAATCTCATCCCCAGGCGCAAAAACGAGTGATGCTAACCTAGATGGAACGGCGCCGTTTCACATTCCACTTAAAGCCTCAGTTAGGCTTGTGTTTAACCTAATATCCACTTTATCACATGTTGAAAAATTTTGATATTTCAATATAACAAATTAAGTTAAATGAATTTTAAGATTTTCCAAATGATTTTCTAAGTATATTCGATATAATTATTCGAATATCAAAACATTACTCCAAATATTTCAAAAATCATTTTTAATCCTTACTTAAGTGTAAAATTAAGTTTTAAT